CTTACGGACCTACATATAATAGGGGCCTTTTGCAGGGTCACATATTTCAAGGTAAAGAGCCACCACAGTTAGTAGCACTTTTTCAGCCTATGGTGGTCCTGAAGGTATTGTTCAGTTTAGTGACTTTAGTCTGGTGCAAAGACCTCTCCATATTAGTTTCATTTGAGGGTTTATTGTTATCATTTTAATTTGATTGATTTCCTCTTCAGGGTGGCTTGAGCTCTGGTTATAAGAAATCGGTTGAGGAGAAAGGTCTGACAGATGAAACTTATACCGCAGATTGTGTGGCACTCTTTCGGTTATCTGGAACTTATGTTCATAACAGTAAAGCAGTGCAAGTTGATGCGGTATGAGCCAATTCATATGTTGTAATCACGTATCCTACATGACAATATATGCTCACATATTTTGGGGGACTGACCTTAGAAAGCGATAAGCACTCTGTCTGCGATATTACATATACCCCTGAATTCCTCGTATTGGAGACTTATCTGTTCCCTAGTAGTATGCATCTTTAAGATTACCACTGAATGTTTTTCACGCTGGATTTTTTGGCATGCTGTAGTTGGCCGGTATGGAGAATAATATGGTATATGAAATGTTGGATGTGATTTATTGAGGGGAAGATGAAATAGAGTTATCTGTGTTTTCTTCATATATGTAGTACGAAGATTCAAATAGAATTGCATACTTTCAAGAGAATGGTTTCTATGCTATGTTTAGATGTTAGACTTCTTGTTCACTGCTGGACATAATCTTTGTACTCTTTGGGCTTTTTAAATAGTCTTTCTTTTATATGTATACATAAAACAGATTTCTTTGTTTAGGTGGCAACATCATTGAACTCTACCGAGTGTTTCATTCTGCAATCTGGGTCCTCAATGTTTGCCTGGAATGGAAATCAATGCACCATTGAACAGCAACAGTTAGCAGCAAAACTTGCAGAATTTTTGAAGGTATACTTGTATTGAAGATTTCTATTCTCTCTTCCCTCTTACATAACTTATTTGCCTTCGAACTTATCATAGATGCACCATCCAGAAGAGTCAATAAAACCAAGTATGCTTAGTAAATGTATTTCAGTCGGGCTTCAAGTAACAATGGTATACTGGGCTCTGGCATTGTTTCGACTTGATGACAAAAGAACAAGATGATTGTACACGTTAACTTGATTGGGCACGTACAATGGATGGACAGTGTTCAGTATTCATGCTTAATGTAATTTAATAGTATTTATTATTTCTTAGGCTTTCGATTTTCAGTATTGCCACCAATATAATGTTCATCTATTTGAGCCTTATATGCCTTGCTAATACAGCCTGGAGTTACTCTAAAACATGCTAAAGAGGGAACTGAGAGCTCATCCTTCTGGTTTGCTCTAGGAGGGAAACAAAGTTACACCAGCAATAAAGTTTCTCAGGAGATTGTCAGAGATCCCCACCTGTTCTCATTCTCGTTCAACAGAGGTAGAATTTTATGACATGAAATGATGTCTAAGTTGGAAATTTTATTTGTAAAGCTAGTTCCATTCTAACTCTGTTTTTTTTTATTGTTCATTGATTCCCCAGGAAAGTTTCAGGCGAGTTATCTGGCCTTTTGAGTGTAATCGGTATTTTCTTCCATTTTTATTTGGGCGCTAGTGCTTCTAATCCCTGTCTTCGTTTTTAATTCTGCAGGTGGAGGAAATTTACAACTTCACTCAGGATGATCTGTTGACAGAGGATATCCTTATACTTGACACACATGCCGAAGTGTTTGTTTGGGTTGGTCAATGTGTAGACTCGAAAGAAAAGCAAAATGCTTTTGAAATTGGCAAGGTATACCTTAAAATATTTGCATCTTTGTCATATGTTTCATTTGTTACATTTTCCATTCATATTTGTGCAGAAATACATAGCGCTGGCGGCATCTCTGGAGGGGTTGGCTCCTAATGTACCATTATACAAAGTTACTGAAGGAAATGAACCTCGCTTCTTTACAACATACTTTTCATGGGATCTTTCAAAAGCCACTGTATGTTCTAAAACAACAGACTCTCTCTCTCTCACTCATTTAGATAAATTTTAAGGAATTTGTAGTCAAGCAAGGAATAATCAAAACACGTTTAAGTTGAATGCAACAAATTTCTGTGATTTGGAATTTTTGGAGGGGTTTTTACTTTTCTATTTCATCTTTAACCTATTAATTGAAATAACTAGTCTTTTGAACTAGAATGAAATTAAGCGAGGATAAATATATGTGTGGAATACTGTAAATGATAATGCTGTGCAAATGTCATAACAAATAGGGAAGTGAAAACTGTCTAGGTGGGAAGAGAATTGGTTTAGGGATCATTACGTATAGAATATCATATACCAGTAGGGATTAAATATGCATAGAAGTCTATCTTCTCAAATAAAATGAAAGCCTAGAAGTCTAATTTGGTAATAACATACGAGTCAATCAACATTTTTTTTCTGGGTAAATTATTACTGATTGATGATGTGCTTACATTCTCTCCCTCTTCAGTGTAATAACCATGTCAGAGATAATCATCTAAAATATGACTTTGTTTCTGCTACACTTGCTAGTGCATTTGAGATTCCAGACATTTCATTAAATAATTTTAGAGGCGGACCAAAACTTTTGTGATTGAAACATTATTTTGATAGGTAAAGTGTGAAGCAAAGGGGCGTGACAGTGTGTCGAAAACCTTTGTAGATATCAACTGTTTTAATTGAAAGTACTTTATACGGATGCATTACACTATTCGGTTTAATATATAATTTTCTTACAGTATATCTACACTAAATGTAGGTTCAAGGAAACTCATTCCTCAAGAAGGTGTCAATACTCTTTGGAATTGGCCATGCTGTGGAGGTAAGCAATGTATATTATCAAACACGTTGCATCGTAATCTCCTCTTATACATGTGTGCGAAATGCTATATGATACATTCTGTCTAGTATATACAAGGGAACCATGATCATATCATGTCTTAAGATTCTCGTTATAAGTTAGTTACCGGAATAATGTTCTTCTCATAACAGTTCGAAATGATTGAACAACATTAAGGGTTAAAATCTATCAAATTTTGTAAAATTTTTTAGCATTATCATTTATTATCCTTCTGTAATTCACGGAGAACGGATATCTGTTGCTGGATCAGGACAAGTCCACTGGGAACCAAGGAGGACCAAGGCAAAGAGCTGAAGCCTTAGCTGCTTTATCATCTGCATTCAATCCATCCTCCGGAAAGTCATCCCAAGCGGTAAATAAATTTTTTTGTACCAGCATCGTGTGCTTGTAGTGGATGCTATTGCCATGTTGTCATGTCTTCACATGCGGTGTGCAGACAAGCAGAACTTTTAATTCATTCCATGAATGAATAGTAGGAACCTTCATCCTAGTTAAGTATTTACAGAAAGTTGCATTAGAAAGTGTACATTCCCCATCTCATCCTCCATTCCCTCTCAATGCTCTTTTCATGTTGTCATTCTTTTGTGGAATAATCAACTAAGGAAGTGGGTGTGTATACAAACATCCCTTAGGTTTTTCGAATGTTGCATTATGACAAGTTGAACCTGATATTAAGCTGTTACATGGAGCTTTTTTATTCGACCTTTATCCCTCTTTGCTTTAGGATATGCTAGATCTGAGATTAATCTGTAGCATGGAGCTTTTTTATTCGATCTTTATCCGTCTTTGACTTGGTGTTGTTTCTTAGCACCTTTTAACCTTACACTTCTCCTTTTCTGAGGCATTATATTCAATAATTCAACAATTCAACTGCCATGCAATCACAGGGCCAGGATAAGTCCGATGGATCGAGTGAAGGAGGACCAAGGCAAAGAGCAGAAGCTTTAGCTGCTTTATCTTCTGCATTTAATTCATCCCCTGGAAACAAACCTTCTCTTCCCAAGCCGTCTGCATCAGGTCAAGGAACACAAAGAGCTGCAGCAGTTGCTGCGCTTTCAAATGTTCTTACAGCTGAAAAGAGTAAGTTAACACCAGATGCTTCTCCTGTGCAAAGCCCTCCCTCAGAAACTAGTGCTTCTGGTAAGAAAGTAGGAATACTTATGATTATCCATTATATGCATGGTTAGCAAACGGATTTGATGAATTTGGGTACTTGCAGCTGGCGCAAAAAGTGAAACTGTTTTTTTTTTCTATCTGAAACAGAGGGTCCTCAGGAACTTCCTGAAGTCAAGGAAACAGGTGAATCTGCACCTGCTTCCGAAAGCAGTGAGGATGATTCAAAACAAAAGACACTGCAGGACGAGAGTGAGAGTGAAAGTAGTCGCAGTACATTCAGTTATGACCAACTGAGGGCTAAATCTGACAATCCTGTAACCGGCATTGATTTTAAGAGAAGAGAGGTTGGTCTTTTGTGAATGTTGTCATTTTCATCAATATCTGCTTTGAAATCATAGTGACATATCGTCGGCTTGGTTTTTCAGACCTATCTCTCTGACGAGGAGTTTCAGACTATATTCGGGATGCCAAAAGATGCTTTCTATCAACTGCCAAAGTGGAAGCAAGACATGCAGAAGAGGAAAGCTGATTTATTCTAGAGGCCGAAGTCAATAGAACGAGTGCTTTTACTGCGTTTATTTGCATCCTGACTTGCAATTCATTCATTTTGATCTGTGTTTTTTCTGTGGTGCCTTGTTTTCTGTCGAGCATTTTGCTCTCGATGAACATAGCGCCGTGGTTAGTATCGGTATTGATTGAGATACTGCCTGAAGAGTGATTTTCTTCTCTCCTTTTTTCTCTTTTTCTGAACTGCTGCCGGCTCTTGTAGTTATCACAGATGGTAGTGTTAAAGCTCAACGCAGGTCAAATTCTTTTATTTGCTTCCACATGTATTTCAATTTTCGGATTTTTTCGGTTCAATTTTCGGTTTGTAATATGTAATACATTTGTATTTTGTAATTGTGACCTACATAAAAGGAATGGGAAATTGTTTTTGGTTTGCAGTTTTTGGTTCATCTCTAATACATCAGATTGTACAAACCGAATAATCCGTTAACCTCGGATTTATTTATCGTATTTACGAAAGTACTACAACTTAAACATTTGCCACACGAAATATGCATATCCAAGCATTATACAGGCCCCGAGCTGCTCACAAGCTCCGAACACTCCGAACCATTCATCACGGAACAAGCAGTATCTTTCCGATATGCTTGCTACTTTCCATCAGCCGGTGAGCTTCTGCCGCTTCATATAACGGAAAACATTTGTAAACCACCGGTTTCACCTTGCCAGACGCGATTGCAGGCCACACATTGCTCTCCACCTCCCTAACAATCGCTGCTTTGTTTTCTGGACTTCTGTATCTCAAACCTGCTGCCTGGATGGTCAGGCGCTTTGAAAGTACAACACGAAGATCTAGCTCTGTTACAGCACCGCCCATGGTCGCGATCACAAAAAGCCTCCCATCAAAGCTTAAACTGTCAAGGTTTCGACGGAAATAGTTTGCCCCAATGATATCCAGGATGACATCCACGCCTTTGCCACCAGTTTCTTCCTTCACCCGCGCAACAAAGTCCTCTGTCTTGTAATTGATACACACATCAGCTCCAAGATCCTTGCAAAAAGCTAACTTTTCTTCACTTCCAGCTGTGATAAACACCTTTGCTCCCAGGTATTTAGCTATCTGAATTGCAAACGTACCAATTCCGCTTGATCCGCCATGAACCAAAAACGTTTCGCCAGCAGATAGCCGGCTCATCATAAAAACAGTTGACCAAACAGTGCACGAAACTTCAGGAAAACTAGCAGCATCCTTCAAAGAAACACCAGGTGGAGCAGGAAGTACTTGTCCAGCTGGAACAGCCACCTTCTCAGCATACCCTCCTCCAGTAAGCAGAGCACACACCTTCTCACCGACCTGCCAGCGTGAGACGTGTTTCCCAACAGCCACTACGGTTCCAGAACATTCGAGACCCAGGTAAGGGCTGGAACCTGGGGGTGGTGGGTACAGGCCCTTCCTCTGAAGGATATCAGCTCGGTTCAGGGCTGTGGCCTCAACTTTTATTAGGACCTCATCGTGTTTGAACTCTGGGTCTTCAACTTCTTGTAGTTGGAGGACCTCCGGTCCACCTGGAGCGCTCACCACTATAGCCTTCATCGATGCTGGAGTATCTCCCTACCTTGGACTCGGGCTTCCACTGAAGAGGTCTGACAGAAGGAAGAAAATCTCACCTGCATAGAAAAGCATTACACGCTTATTAGATGGAAACGTAAAGTACATAAACGAAAACCATTGCACTCGCATTGTCCAGTGTAATTCTATAACTTCGTTGAACAAGATGATGATCCTATTCCTATCCACTGCAAGCAGTCCTCCCAAATTCTTTCCTCTAATGCATCAAAAACCACCTCAATTCTCATACATTATTGCATGCTAAGAACTGCAAGCAAGCTACCCCCTTGACGAAGAATTAGGGCCCGTTTGATAACAATTTTGCTTTCAGAGATGGAGGAAAAATATGTGGAAGAAAGGAGAAATGAAGAAAGGTGAAAGAATAATGGCGGAAGAAATGTGAAAGGAATGTATATGCAATGACAAGCAAAACGAAAACTAAAAACCGAAAATTGAAAACGAACAAGTTTAGGTTGTTTTTTGTATAATCTCCCTCTTCCCTCTCACCACTTCCCGTCATCCTTCTCCATTCCTCATTTTTCTCACAAACATCCCTTCTATCTCTAGCACCAAAAAATAAAAACTAAAAACCAAATAGTTACAAACAGGGCCATGGTTTCTCAATTTCTTGATTTCAAACCTGGGCTCCAACTCCAAGATTATAAAAAGGTACTCATTTTTACCTTTCACACACTCCTTCCAATTGCCGGCCGTCGGATCAATGGCCCAAAATTAACCGGATGTGTGAGCGGTAAAAATAGGTGTGTGGAACTGAGAGGCATCATCCATGAGAACTGTGAGGCATCAACCCCACATTTTTAGCAATAATTCTATGTGCTTCCTCTTAAATTTAAATTTCAGCTAAAACTGCTGAATTCCTAATTTGATTAGCATCCTCTCTATAAATTATTAATTTCGAAAAGAAAAAAACTAGGATTAAATTTTACTTACTTTTGCTTGGTCAAAGTTTGAAACTTGAATTAAAATTTAATATCAACCTAATCCCTTATATACACACACACATATTATATGACAGACCCAAAAATAAATAAATAAATAAATAAACCAAATGTGAAATATTGCCACTGCGCCGCGATTATAAACCAGAAATTGGAAATTAGTCTAAAGAAAAATAAAGTTGGAAACTGAGACTTTAAAGAATAATTACCTTTGGCCCTCTCCGGAAGATAAACAAAGCTGAGAAAGAAAACTGCCGAACTTTGGAAGGTGAGAGACTGCCACTGCAACTGTGAGAAAAATCAACCGACCAAGGCAACAGAAGAACCCAACAAAATAAGTACGCGGGTGGGCTGTTCTTCGGCTAATGGGCTGCCGAAGATTCTGAGCAATTCTTTTAGTGGGGCTGATGGGGAAGGTTGGGCAAACAAAAACCGGGATTTGTTTGAGGGGCTTTGGAGTAAGCCCAGTATCACTGATGTCGTCAGGCATTGTGTTGAAGTTGTAGGCCTCTTAGTTTTATTATTTTTTGGGAGGGTGAGTTTGTTCAAAGGAAAACTAATGAAAAGGGTTTGAAAACTTTGAGTTTTAATGATAAGGACAAAATAAAGGGTAAAGTGAATAGTACCAGGATTGACTTTTTAGTGTAAAAATATGGTTTTTTATTAAAGTGAACAGTACCGGGTGCTTTTCGTTAAAGTTCCCTTTGTTCAATGGAATGACTGATGAAGCCGATGTATTCTTGTTGTAGGTCCCTTTTTCACTATTACTTGCCGCAGCAAAATCGGAGCTGAAAAGCCTTGAGCGAGCTGTATTCGCTGCCAGTGTACAACTGCTAGTTCTGAGATAGCAGATTCTTGTTGTCTGAATTTGCAAATGCATCCGACCTACTGGTGTCAAATCCATGTTACGCCAATTCACGTTAGAAATAGATCTATAACTATTATGTTGTCGTCACTTAGTATTACGGTCTAGTAGTATTCATCTCTTCACTTGTAAGTTAGATATTTTAGATTCGATTCTTACCAAAGATGAATTTGAAACATATTATTGCTAGCTTATTATGAGGTTAACCTCATCTACTACCTCGTCCTCCTTAATGTAGATTATATTTTTTGTTAAAAAAAAATTAAAAAATTTGTCACATTGTCTATTTCTTGCACATAGAGCATTTTTACCATATCTAATTTCATTTACAAAAGTCACTCAGTATTACGGTTTGGTAGTATTCCTTTTCTCTTAGAAGTGATAGATCTTAGGTTCGAATTTCGTGGATGGCGAATTCGATACCAAATTATGCTGCCAATTATGTAGCTTAGCTGAACTCCCCCTTCCTTAGTGTAAACATGTCGATGTACTAAAAAAATATACATTTCATTTACGAATTCAACTATTATGATTTTATGAGAAAAAAAACTTCGCTAAGTTTTGAGAATTTCATAATAAAGACTCATAAATTCTTGATCACATGTTGACCTCAAAACAGATTCACAATATCTTAATATAACAAACTTCGATTGGATACACTTATGTAGAGGCACATATCTAACCTGTAATTATTATGTGCTAAAGAGCTTTAGAAAATTGCCATTCAACTTCGAACTTAAGATCTTTTATATACAAATAAAATAAAATATTAGACAGGACCATCATCGCTTGGTTTAAAAATTGAGCTTTAATTTGGGCCCTCCATAATTGTGTACCCCAGCATTCAGGAACCCACATCTAAAAGGGCATCTCAATCACAAAATTAACAAACACTTATCCAAAAGCAACCATAATATTTAACTTTTAACATAATTATTATTAGCTGTTTGAGTCATCATAATTTATACTATAGCATGATGGCAACCTTTTTTGGAGCTTTGTGGTTGATTGTTTGGTGGTACATTTGATTTGCTATTTGCTAATACTAATCTCCTTTCTTCTCTTGTTTTCGTTCAACATAATTTGCATTAGTTGCAGTTTAAAAATCCTTTAATCACATCAACGTGTCTAATTCATGTCATTAATTCCGTGTAATCATTCTTCAACAAGACAAGGAAATGTTCTGCCATCACAGTACTACATCGAATTCCAACATGTTACGTCAGGATTTTGTCAATCAAAATTATTGATTGATTATATTTAAGTATATTTAAATATGTAATTAATTATGGATTAACTACACAACATGCTAAGTATCTGATAAAAGATATGCACCAAATTTCACTTTGCATCGTATAGTACAAAATATTGCAATTTCAATCTCAAAATTTTTAATATTTTTTCGATGTAACTCAACTCTTAGTTAGTCTGCTAAGCTTTACGTTTTTTTACTTTGTGATGCATGGAGACCCACTTTTTATACGAAAAAAAGTTTGCCCCATGCATGACGTCATAAAAAATTCGTTAAAATGAACAAGTTCAAAGTTGTGTCACTGTACACATGTACGAGTTTAATCAAGTTGATTATACTCATTATGCTTTTTATTATGCGCCAAAGTTTAAATCATTTTTCACATAGTTTTGATGAATTTAGTATAAATTATTCCATCATTTATTAAAAAAAAAAGAGTTGTACTATCATACTAGAACAAATTACAAGTTTTTTAATATTTTATTTTCTTTATATAAGTGATCATTTAAACTACTTTAATTTTTAAAAATAAATTTTGTTGTGAGTATTAACCTTGCATCATAAAAAGAAGAGACCTTGCATGTGAAACTCAACAACCCACACGTGCTCTACATCACCCAATTTGTTTTCTTCAAGTATTAGGCTTAAATTCGTCACGTGAGAATATGTGTTGAGAGTATTAGTCTCACATCAGAGAAAGAAACGACCTTACGTATGTTTTATAAGTAATTGAGTTACTCTTCATATTGTTAGTTAATTTTATGGCGAAACTTCAACTTCTTCAAATTCGAACTTAGATGAAAAGAACAATCAAACTGTTTTTGATGAATTGACCTGGTTCAGATATACAAACTTTTCTTTTAGTGGTAGGTGGATTATAGTGACAAATTTCACAAGAACTACATTGCAACTTCACATGCAAGAGTGGGGCAAAAATTCACCCAATTTGGCTCATAGTCACAAGTCACCCGTGGGAATATATACCCCAAATTCGTGGCCACCTCTGCTTCTTCTTCTACGGAAAGGGTTCCTCTCCAAATCTCTTCCTTTTAATCCATCAAGTTTGAGAATTCAGACTATTGAAATTTAATCCAACAATTACAAATAGAAACTCATTTTAAAAATTATAATAATTTTAACTGTTGAATTAAATTTCAATAATTAAGATCCTGAACTTAATAGATTAGAAAGAAGAAATCCGAAGAGGATCCATTTCCTTCTTCAACCTAGACTTGGGACACTTTGCTCTCTCTCTCTCTCATATGATGCCACATTCATGCGCTGCCTGCCACGTAAGTCAAATCTCCATTAACTTGAATAGTGCTACATATATAATTAACACAAAGAATCTTTTATTTATTTAATTATTTCTCTTTCTTCTTTTTTTTATTCTTTTGTGGTGTGAGCTAAAGTCACAAGAGACTGTTTGGCACCAGAAAAAAAGGCATGCATTTTATGGAAGACAAATGCCTTTATTTATTGTTGTTTGTTTGGTTGGGTCTTCTTTGTCCACTTATTATTTTCCTTATTAGGAGAAAACAAATGAAATTATATCCTAACGAATTGTCTTGTGGATTTTCCTTTGTACTTCTTCTGTATTGTATTGAGCTTCTATCATAGATACTTCATTAACCAAAAAAATATGTATAAACTTATTCACTCAGACCAATTATTTCATGTTGTCAATTAACTTCAATGATATTATTTTTTACTTATATTTAAGAGATATTAAGTTCGACTATTGTGAATGACAAGATTAATATGAAATTATTATGATTGACATCTCTCAACGGTTACTATAAATATATTGTTTTAACCCAAAAATGGTTTTCTTGTATAATATTGAACCGAAACGCCAAGTGACGTATATGTTGGATTTGGCATTAAATCAACATGCCTAAACTAAAAAGGATTAGAATATCTTGGACGCAAGATATTTGGATTTGTGTTTCATAGTTGGTTTGGGATTTGGTTTTGGTATAGGATTTGGTTTCCTATATTCTAGGGACTTTGTGTAAACCTAGGACATCTATTAGTATAAATAGATGGATGTGGAATAGAGTTTTGTGTGTGAGTTTTGAGAGGCATAAGTTTGTATACTTGAGAATACTTTGTGTTTGTGAGTTCTCTTGTATTTGTTGGTAATCAATAAAGCTTCTGTTGTTAGAGAGATGCTCATATATTGGAGGAACTCTGAAATCATTGTGTTTTGTTTATTGCTTGATTGGTTTTTGGTTTAGTTTACAACAAGTGGTCTCATGAGCTTAGGTTCTTACGTGGGTTGTGACTATCAAGCAATGACGAAGACTGGTGATTCTACCAGTGGTGATGATGTTGAAGAAAAGTCTGGCACTAGTGGAACCAAGATGATGGTTCAGAGTGCTAGGTTTGAAATTGAGAAATTTGATGGAACAAACAACTTTGCTATGTGGCAATGTGAGGTTCGAGATGTCCTGATACAACAAGGTTTGGTTGTTATGTTAGGAGACATGTCGTTTTCGATGAAAAATGAAGAATGGGAAATATTGAATGCTCATGTAGGTTCTACAATTCGGCTATGCTTGGGAAAGCAACAGAAGTATGATGTGATGAACATAACTTCCGCGAAAGAATTGTGGGCTGCATTGGAGACAAAATATATGAAGAAGAGTGCAAAGAATCGACTGCATCTCAAGATCAAGTTGTACAAGTTCAGTACAAAGAGGGCACGAAAATGATTGGCCATCTAGAAGAGTTTAACAAGCTTCTAGTTGAACTGGAAAATCTTGAAGAGATAATCAAATCTGAAGACAAGGCCTTGATCCTGATGAACTCATTGCATGAACCTATGAGCCTTTCATGACTACTTGGATTTATGGCAGGGAGACAATTAAGTATGATGAAATCTCA